GTCATGAACCACCCGCTCCAGCTCCTGACCCCGCAACCCCACAGCTTCAACAATGACCCCGGACCCCTGGTCCTGGTCCTGGTCCAGACGCTGGTCCCGTGTACAATCAGACAAGAGGGCAGGAAGAGATAGAGAAAGACTGTGGTCGAGGAGCCTCATGGACCTGCCAGACCACCAGCCTGACAAGAAGACACTCTCATTTGTCTCCTCTGATTTCATTTGAAACTCTTTCTCTTCTGTAGAGATACAGATACAGAACCCACAGCTTCACACAGGTGAAACACGAAGGTGAGTAGGAGAATGTGAACATGACGAGAAGAATAAGATGTGACCCGTCCCTCTTGGTTAGGTGTGTGCCTGCCCTCTCAAAGCACCGCTGTCTTCCTGAACAGTCAGCTCTCCACAACTACGGAGCCCTCGCCTTTTGTCTTCACTGTACTGAAGACAATACAACAGTGTGCGTCGCTGTCCCCTTCTCACCAGCATCGACCTTCATGAGCGAAGACGTCTTGAGAGAACAAGAGAAACTCAGGAGTGCACAGTAATCTGACAGGATGCCACAGGTGGAGCACAAAACGGTTCAGAAGGTTGTTTCAGTTCTCTGAAGTCAAAGGGGCAACGGTTTGATACTGAAACTCCACAACACAGGTTTCTCTGAGCGAGCATCAGCAAAAGCGTGGCATGATGTAGCGAAACTAACACATGGAAGTTGGAGATAAAGGTTGTAAGATTGGATGACCAAATTCAAATCAAACCACCCTGAATGATCAGAATTTTAGTTACAAGTAAAAAAAATCTTTCAGTATGAATTGAATTGTCCGTCCCCAGTCTTTCGCTCTTGACTCGGTGATGACAATGCTGTCCACTCCTTGTTTTCCCCCTTTAGATGATAAAACCATTCAGGTCTGGAGTGCAGGGGCCTGGCAGGGTTGACGAGCTCCTCTGCCGCTGCTCTGGGATCTGCAACCTGCAACATTCCACAACTTTTAGCAACCTTGCAGCCGTGTAGATATCTGTACATGAACCCCCTTCTCTCTCTCTCTCTGTCTCTCCCTCCTTCTGTCTCCTCTGTTTCATCATTTCCTCCCTCCCCTGTGTTTCTTTATCTTCATCAAGCTGAACAAATGCCTTATTAACACGTAGCAGCTTCGAATGGTAGCAAAAGCTTTTTCTTTTTGTCTTGCACAGCTGGCTTTGAGTGCGACTATAATAATGTTTCGGAAACATGGTTTCGTGAATCCCGATGAGGGGTGAGTCGGTACTTTTCATTCAAAGATATTTGAAGACGCGCCCGTTATTCCAATGTTACAGAGAAGTGTTTTTATTCATTCACAGAGACAAGACGTCTCTACCTCTGAAATTTCTTCTCATGCAATGACTCCCCAAATCTCCCAGGGGCCCTTGTGTGCCTTTGAATTCCTAACAGCCACCATACCCATGATGGTATGACATATAATGGGAAATGATCTGACGAAACGTATTTTATACATAAGGATGTTTGTATATTGCATTTATGTGTCGTTCCCCCGCTCTGTAATGAACAAGGTGAGAATCCCAAAGTCTAGAGAACAACATGTGGATGCACTTCCCCTGTTTCAACAATTTGCTGTTCACAATCAAACGCTTCTACACAGCGGTGTCCGTTAAACCGTACAGACATGCAGTGCCTGTACGGCAGCAATACCACAATCTCGAGGACAGAGTGTCTTCAGGCAGGTGGATGCAAACAGACAGATTTCCATTGGCTTTTGTTTTTTTTTTGCCTTAAGCTTGACAATGATGCTCCTGCGTGTGAGAGCTGAGGAGTGTTGCTAATGACGGTTTGAAGTCAGTTTCCAGGTGAAAGTGATTTTTGCTATGCATTACAATTCTGCCTGATGCCTTTAAAAAAATGAGGTGAAAAAAAAAGACAAAAAAATAAGTAAAAGACCTTGATGCCTATAGATGTAGACTGTAGACTTGTTGTAGATGCTTGATTGATTCTGTTAGCATCCTGGAGTTGTACATCAGCCAATCTGCCTTGTCAAGGACGCAGTGCAAGCATCTTAATAGATTCAGTCGAGTGTGTGCGCGCGCGTGTGTGAGTGTATGTGTGGATGGATGGTGTTTGTACCAAATATGCTGTACAGAAGACAGGAATTTTAAGAGTCCTATTTTTTAACAACAGAAGCACACACATGTATTTAGGCTATGCAAACTATAACAGCAGCAAATGTGAGATATGAAAATGAAAAAAGGAGATTATAAACTATTTTTAACGTTGCTTATGAACTTCACGGAGCGGAAAGAAAAAAAAAAAACATTCAGATAGTGAGAGTATCATGTCACTATGTAAACTGTTAGGATGCCTTAACTCTTGTTTGAAAACCAGTTTGTCAGTGTGTCTGTATGCTGTTCTGGGTTGATTTTTGTTTTTTTTTCCATGACTAAGACATAAGTCGGTAACTATTACTATTTTTTGTTTGTTTTTTTGGGGGGGAGGGGGGCACAGGGTGGACATTGAGGGATCGGTGGGAGGAGGGAGATGGCTTTATTTTTTGGCGTATAAAGCTGGTTCTGCAGCTTGAAAGACTTGAGTCAAGAAAAATGAAACAAAACCAGCATTGACAGTGAACTCTGTCTGCCGCCCTCGTCTGTCACAACCAAAGACCGAACAATATGTTCCCATTTTACATTATGGTAAAGCAACAGAGACTGTACAACTCTATTTTTGATACTTTGAAATGGATGTCATTCCTAAAAGGTTGGGGACATGTATGAGTGTTGAGTGTGTGTATACATATATATATGTACATGTGTATATACATATGTAATATATATACACACACCCACACACACATATATACTGTATATCTATATATACATATATATGTTTTGTAAAATAAAAGGGAAATACAGGTTTAGCTGATGTTTACCGAGCCTTGTATTGTCATTTCTTGTATATTTTGTATGTTAAAATTTTTGTAATTTTTAAGACTGCAGTGCTTTTTTTGAAATTATTCAAAGGGAATACCTTGCATCATACTGTAGGCTCTAAAGTAGTGTATATCAATAAAACAGAAAACTCACTTATGGCTCCTTGTCACTTTTTTTTCATGTCTTTGATGCGAAAGCAGCCTTTTGTTTCCCAACGCCACACAAGTGTTACTACTATTAAACTGCCAGACAAACATAACAAAGGTGATATGCTGTAAACACAGATGTTCTTATATTGTTATGTTATATATTGTTATGTTGTTTATGTTGGGGGCATTTGTGTCAGTAAAATGTGAAGAACTGATCTGGATCACCTTCAGCCAAGTTTGCCTTCATGAAATGGATATATTGCACATTGCAGAGTCATTGTATATAGAATTTGAAAATGTCTGATTTGGCACCCTCTAGCGGTATGAGAAGAAAATGGTTGTGTGCAGCACTGCATAGCTATGTTTTTTAAAGGACCAGTATTTAGGGGGATATACCTTTCATATACTATACTATTCCATTTTTGCCAATATATTTTCTTCAAAGTTTAAATTAGAATCGTGTTTTTGTTATCTTAGAATGAGCCATTTATACAGGGAGCGGGTCCTCGTCTATGGAGATTGCCATGTTTCTACAGGAGCCCAAAACAGACAAACCAAACACTGGCTCTGGATTGGGCCATTATTGTTTTCACATTGGCAATCATAGGAAGCAGCCCCTCTGCAACAAGCAGACATGGAACTCCTTTATTCAGTGTTTTTATCGGTTTAAATGTTTGTTTTGAGAGGAAGAGACATCTGTGGATAATTCCTCCCGAATCTCTGGATCTGAAGTTATCAGAGAAAAAAGGTGAGCACATATTAGCAGGTGCTAGGCTAGCGGCCCGTCTCTGACAGGCTGAACAGTGTCAGACTATCACTGATTTGTAACGAGAAGCTGCTTTACTCAGTGTTTTAACAGATAAAAACAGCAGAGGCCTGTACTATGAAGTCAATTCAGCTTACCCGGGATATCTTCTCATTATCTGATTCGACTAACCCTAACATTGTCCGTCTGGGTAACCCGTACTACAAAGCTAGTTATCACCTAGGTCAGTCACGTTTTCCTATCCAGCCACAAGAGCGTCCATGTGTAAGAGGTAGGGTGTTTATTATGAGCGACATCATCACAACCATGAATGAAGGAGGCTACTTAATATCATATGCGATGAAACGGTAACAAGAGTGTCTGCAACTACCAGACAGTAAGTGGCGTGGGATGTAAACAATACTCAATACAATACTATGTAATCTTAAAACGGAAAATCTAGAAACATTGAAAATACTGTTTCCAAGTTCACCATCATCTGAGACATTACATGCAGGTATCACTGAGCTATGGGCCTGTGTGACATTAGTATAGAGTTTTTTTTGCTGTTGGATGATAAAACTATTCTGAATGTCACATAAAACACTTTAAAGTAATGCCAAACTGTTTCTTCTATTGAAAAAAAAGTTGAAGAAATAAAAGTAGCCTAGTTAATGACTGATGAGGTCTATCAGACAGAAATGTTCCATTTATAATAACGGGAGCTGATTCACAGTGTCTGGATTATTTTACTAATAAAATACTCTTTTGTGTCTCATGTTATTTTGAGCTGCGATGATGGAATCAGAGTGTAAAATAGCAACACTATCCCTGCGGGCTAAAATAAACTTTGCATAATTTCAAATGCTGCTAAAATCATGTGTTTAGTGTTGTAAACAGCCTCTCTGTTTGTTAGAAGCTGTGTTTCAAAGCCAGTGGAAACAGAGCCCTGAGACAATGAAATTATTCTACTGACCTATAACAATATATAGTCTACTCTTCTTTACCTGAGACTCCAGACTTTCATTCATGGATTTTTTTTTCCTTCAGTGATCTGATTGGTCAGAGGTTGGGGTGCTGACAGGCTGTGATCAGATACCCTTAAGTTAACCTGCTCCGGAACAGGTGTCATTGATTTTACTGGTGCGTAATGACTTTGTGTCTTTAAATGAGACCAGATGAAACACACATCAGTGTCAACATTTATTGTTTACAGTCTTATACACATACATACATATTAGTGTCAAACTTGCAACAAAAATACAAGTCTCCTCTGCCACCAGAGGTTAATCTAGCCTTGTTCGGGCCAGTATTGCACTCTGGGTAATGTAGGCACAGTAAAGAGGGGAAAAAATACTAAGACAGCTGTCGGCAGGCCTGTCACAGGAAAAACTCACGCAGCTTTCACACAGTACTCGGTCGTCATACCAGGAATTAAAGCAGCTACAGACCGATCGTTATAAATAGTCTGGAAACCGAAACAGAAGAGATCTAGTAGCTGAGGTCGATCATTGTAAAAGGCTTCACGATATGCCTGTCCTCTTTTAGATTTCATAACAAAAGCTAATGGGATTCATAAAAATAGAATTAATTTGTCATTCTACTCTGTCACAGACGCTCTGTCACTTAACTCAGATTGGAGCAAATACATGTGCAGTGCTTAGAATAGATCGTAATGGGTAGACATGCTGTGTGTCACACATAAATGCTTTTTATAGAACAAAAATTAAGTTACAAATTAGATGATACACTGGCACTTCTGCGGTGTTGCTGTAGTTTAACTAATAGTTGCTGCAGCTCAGCGTTAGGTTTAATGTCTCCACGTCAGCTGAGCAGTACAGGCTGATATTCCCTCTGGTATTCAGTAGTTGAAGTCAGTCCGTATGGCTTCTTTCTCTCTCTATTCAATGGCACCACCACACAGCTGGAGGCCATCAACTCAATAAACATTGTACATGCACATACACACATCTGTGTTTGCATCGAGCCAACACAAAAGATCATAAACTCTGAAAAGTCAAAAACTTGTAGTGGTTAAGAGTGAAAATTTAGAAATATACAACAAAGATCATGTGCAGATGTGGTTTGTACAGCCTCAAGCATTTCAGGATGAACATCTGTACAGTCGTACGGGGAAACAAATATAGAGCATTTAAATATACATGCGTATTCGTCCAGGCTCCGCACCATCTAGTCTCCACAACCAGCTATTACAGTAAAGACGCACAGAAATGCTACGTGTGACATCCGTGTCATTAGCCGATAAATGAAGCTTTACTGACATCAGCTGCTTCACCAGTGGATGTCCGAACTCCAACAGCAGCTTCAGGAGTGTCACAGCCAGCTGTGTCAGCTGTGTTTTAATAATGGCGGCTCATGGGAAAGGGGGAGGTTCAGCAGGTGTTTGAAGTGGCACCGGGATCAACAAGGAGAGCTGCTGGTGAATGAATTTAGGAGGCGAGGGCTCTTCAATGGGAGGTTAAACCACAGAAGAAGGAGGAGGAGGAGGAAAGAGATGAAGGGCTAGTGGTCAGTTACATAAGACCAAGTAGACCTGCTGGCCGTAGAAAGGGTGGTTGGAGCGCTCAGCTATGGCCCGCCTGGCGATCTCCTCATTAGGGAAGGTGACCAAGGCCTCGCCGCTGCACTGGCCGCTGAAGTTGTACAAGATGAGAACGGCATCTGGCTGCAGCTGCGGAGAAAGAAACAAAAGAAACACGGGACAACAATGTGAGACAATAAGAGCAACTTGTTTTGATGCAGCTGCAGTGTGATACCACCAGGGGGAGCCCACAAAGCCGAGGATGAACAATGCCCTGGGAAAAGCTTGTCTCATCAAACCGGTCCAGTTAGGTAGAAAAAAGAGATTAATGGGGAGAGCTTAAAGAGCAGAAGCAGAGTACATGCTGTTCCCAGAGGACCTGAAACCCACAAGGCAGGTTGTGCCAACACACACAGGTATTATCCGTTTGCATGCATCCAAGTCTTGCATCAAAATCAAGTTTGATGCAAAAAAAATAAGAAAATGGAAAGATATGAAACAACTCACTGATTAAATTAGCAATCAGTTAATTCAGTATGTTAGAGAATCACATGTCAGAGCAGGAGAGAGGGACGTCATGCATTTAGGACGTTCACTGGAAACAGTCGAGGCAGTGAGGGGGGAACTGGTTCAGAAACTATATTCAAGAGTTGGTCTAGTGTAGGAGTGCTGAATCAAGACTGACTGATAATGCAGTTTGTGTGTTGTAGCGCTATTTATGAATCTAGATTGTTTCGGTGTGAGTGTTGGAGATATCAGCTGTAGAGATGTCTGTCTTCTCTCAAATATAATGGATCTAGATGGCACTCTGCTTGTGGTGCTCAAAGTGCTAACAGTAATAATAATTTCAAAGACAAAGAAAACAGCAGCAATGTCTCTTTTCAGAAATCATGACCTGGTTACTCAAGATAATCCACAGACAGTTGCGAGCAGTTTCATGTAGGAACTATTTTCTGTCTACTGAGCTACACCTGCCAACTGTACCACCGCATAGACGGAAGTGAGCATCTACTGCTAGCTCATAGAACACCACTGGGCTCAGCGAGCCTCTTGTATAATAATAATAGATGCACACTTCCTTCTGCCTGGTGATACGGTTGGTAGGTGGACCTCTGGAAAGAGATATTGCTGTCGAGTTTCTCAAATGTTTTTTTCTTTGCTGCTTTGAGCGACACAAGCTAAGTGTCCTCTAGTTCCTTTATCTTCAACTCTCTGCAGCTCACACCAAAACAATTTAGACTGATAAAAGCACTACAGGTAAGATGAGAAATATGCTTTTGATTTTGGGGTGAACTGTCCCTCTAATGGTGTAATTCCTCCTCTCAGGTTGAGTGAAATACAGTAATGTTCACTTTAAATAAAAATCCTGCAGACAGATAATCTGCCTCTGCTGATATGGCCTTTAAATGTTCATTTGATCAATAGATTTAGATGTTTTCAAAAGCCAATAATCAATTATTTCATGTCTTAAATGATATCATAAAGTGATACTTTTAATAACACACTTCCTGCATAGAGTGGCCATAATCTACAACATGCAAACTATCTGCATCAGAGGATTTAAAAATACATCAAACAGCAGTGTCTCTTATATTTCCTACATTCTGTGTAATACATGTTGCCTGTTCACCACTATTTACGTGTCAGGACTCAGCACTCCTAGCAGGCCTACAGGACAGACTTGAGTTATGAGGCAGATTTGTTTGGGAAGCAGCAGGCCGACATGCCGGGTCAGGAGCTCAGAACCCCGTTGGCTAGATCGGGCATTCCACGTGTACAGATCAGTCCTGTCAAATTACTATTGAGCTGACGTGTGTGTATAATGGTGCGTGTGTGGTGTGTGGATTTTAATGTTGATTCAGTGAGTGTACTTAAGTTGTTAAACTCACAAAAAGCAGTGCTTTGGTGATTTGCGGGTTGAAAGATGTACCATCATTTAAAACTTATATTTCGATGTTTACATATATTTACTTTTAATGCAAGTATTTTTGTAGCCTAGTGTGAGACATAAAAAAAAATACACCCAATTTTCAATCAAACTTAACCCATCCCTAACCTTTAACTTGACCAGCAAATCACCAACTCAGTGCTTCTTGGGTAATGTCCACTGCTGCATATTTGTGCATCAGCTTAAACACATATATGTGATTTAAGTGTAGGACATGCCCTCTCTGTCCACTCTGGTTCTCTGGTCTGGCGGCTCCTCTTACCTTGGGGGTGAGTCCCTAAAGACAGAGCCATTCTTTGGGCTGAATCAGACTCCTGGCCTGTTCACTCATCTGAACCATGCCGCTGTACTCGTCAGGGGCGTACTACAGACAGCATAATAATGAACGGACAGTGAGGGTGGGAGGTCTCCATATTGTGTCACACATCACAGTACACAGTTTTTAATACACACACACACACAAGAAGTAAGGGTATATGTTCTTAAAAAATACTTGAGGTTGATGAGGAAAAAATAAACACACCAAACCAGACACTCACAAACACACCCTGAAAAGACTATTGAACCACACAGGGTGATTAAGCATGGGATTGTGTGGTAAAGGACACCAGCTCTGGTGTGGGAACTGTTTTATCACCCAGGGCCAGTGAGAGAGACGCTACTGCAGCCAGAAAAACACACACACACACTCACTCCAGTAAGGATACAATTACGGTAGTTCAGCCAACAGTCAGGACTGGAGTCAGCTTAGCTGACACACACACACACACACCTCATGGACTGACAATTATCCTTCAGCATGTAAAAAGAAAAAGATGTCTTTTTTGGTGTGCATTTGATGCTGGCTACCCGCTACAGTACATCTCTCTCTCTCTCTCTCACACACACACACACACACACACACACACATCAAAGTACTAAATGACATAAGCCAAACAGACCAACAGCAAACCCAAGCTCTGTGCCACAACAACAACAACAACAACAACAACAACAACAACAACAACAGCACAACCCCTCCATCTCAAACTCCACCCCTCTCCCTCTTCCCTCCCTGGCGTGCCAAACCGCCTAAAGCCACACCTGTCAGGGTTCATACCTGCTTCAGAGGACTCCACCTAATTTGGACTGGCAGCGAAAAAATATGATCAGCACAGGGAAGGGAGGAGAGCACAAGTGCACACATGTCTCTTAATTGAATCCTACTGTGGTGTGATTTTGCAACAAGAAGCACCAATGGTAACGGGTGACTCTTCCTAGCTGCAGGGTTGAGAGCTCAGTGGTCTGACAGCTCTAGACTTTATTATGTGAGGTTGGACGCTGTGGGAAGCGTTCACAATCTACAAATAAAGCCACACTACCTATTGTTACACTGATCAGCCTTTAACATAACCATTATCAAGCGTCTGTTGTAAATAGTTGGCACAACTTTCTCTAACACCACACAGGTCTTTCTGGAAAGAAGGTGCAGCTTTAATCTGAGTGTGAGAGTGTTTCAATGCCAGAGCTAAACTCACTCACACAGTTAAATAAAAATACAACTACATCTTCTTTTCTCTCTGCCAATAAACATGGTGGCAACTTTTTGCAGAATATGGCTACAAATGTACGCACTTGGCATCTTTGGGTGGTAATCCTAACATCCCTGCAAACACCAACACACATTTAGATCTGTGCCTTCATTTCAGTGCTGACCTGGTATCCCTGGAAGAAGCTGAGGATGTCCTTGACTCCAGTGTTGTAGGGCAGACCCTGCATCCTGACCAGGGCGCCAGGCTGAGGCAACACAGAGGAGGCGGCGGCTGCAGCTGGGTGGGGTTGGGCTGCGACTGCTGCTGCCATTGCTCCTGGTGGAGCTGCAAAGTAGCTAACTGTGGAGGGAGAAACTGGGGGGCTGGAGACAGAGCAGAGTAGAGACAGAGTTAATATGTAAAGTACAAATAAAGAGAGATGTGTTTCACTCACCTAGTACTTCGCTGCAGACGTACTAACCTGGGATAGTAAGCTGTGTAGTTCATGTTCATATTCATGTACAGGTGTGGCTGAGGGGGGTAGTAGGCCAGAGTGTGAGCGGGGTTGTGTGTGGCCGTCTGAGATGGTCTGGGGGCAGCCAGCAGGGGGGGCTGGTAGAGGGCAGCCTCAGAGAGAATGGTGGGCGGGGTGGGAAAGGCAGCGTAGGCTGTGGGGGGAGACAGACCTGCAGAGACAGACACAGATATATGCATACAGAGTCTGGTCATTTACATGTTGGGTTCAGTGCATGCACGGACCTGCCCATAGTAAAGTGTAGCAAGAATCAGTAAATGAATAGTTACAACATGCGGCATGGGGGTTTCAACATGCTGCAAACTGTACAGAAACAATGTGTCATGTGTTACGCTATAATGTTAATCCTGACAGGATCATGAGTCATTATGAGTCTTGAAGACATATTAGATCCTAGGGTTCAGACTGCAGTCAGTCAGAAAGTCAGACAAAACAAGACAAAAAATAATCAAGAAACAAATCAGTAGATGAATCAATGATGTAAATAATCATTAGCTGCAGCCCTAGCTTTTTTACATTTCAAACACAACCTGTGTCATGTGTTATCATTCCCATCACTGCCAACATTTAGGGACACAGTGACACTGGTAGCCAGCCACAGCTGCACACAAGGGCAAACAACACAAGTACTCAAACAGACAGGTTTTACATGAATCCAAAGTGTAACCCAAAACAGTTATTTTGAAGTTACAATCATCTTTTGCAAACTTTAAGTCTGACAGAAACGCTCCGCAAGATCTAACTCACATTTAGACTCTTATCACTGTCTGTTTTGGTAAGAACGTAATCTTTCATTTCACTTTCAAATATGTGGTTCAGATGATATAACCAACTGTCGACTTGTCTGAGCCGCTCTTGCAGACTCTCTGCATGTGTCAGAGCAAAGGAAGCTGGTTATTGGAACACTAAGAACAGACTGACCCCCCCCCCCCCCCAAAAAAAAAACCAGATAATTTCTTTACACAACACATTAGACACCAGACAGCCTGCCAAAAACATTGTCTGTCCTCTAGGTATTTTATTAATGAAGCTTACTGTGCCCTTCAGGCCGTCAAACCTGCAATGTAAACATACACAAATGCTGGTATGGATGTATTTACATACAAACAGCCACCCTCAGTGTGGGGCTGTGGACAGCTGCGGTCTCCCTCAGTGCCAACACAGTGACACTCAACGCTGCCGACCTTGCGGAGGCTGAAGTGCTTCCAGGTTAGTGAGGGTGAAACTACGTGCAACAAAGAAGTCACCATGACTTTAATTCTAGTAGAAGAAAAGCAAACCCAACTTTGTTAGGAAACTATTTTATAAATCTAAAATAAAAAGGGTAAATAACCATTAAAAACAAACACACACACACACACACACACACACACAAACATAAAAATCCCAATCTAATCTGCAGCACCAGAGACAGATATGAGGCAGAACAGAGCAAAGTACAGAGTTGCATCAGTCCAGTCTCTGACATCATTGTTTCAAAGGAAGTCAGCGATAACCATATATATTATATACATATATAGCTTATCATTTCTAGGAAATGATATGACTTTCACAATGCAGCCAGAAAGAATAGCAAAGAGTTCAGGAAGCATTTCTAAGTTGATCAGTGTCTCAATAAATACATCTGATGGAAAACAGGAGATCCAAACACTGACACGCTGAATTGGTGGCTTTATGAGCCATTTAGTAGAGTTCACTTACAGGGGAGCTTGCAGGGCGGAGGGGAGAGGCCGCTGCGGTTCAGGGTTCCTCCCATCAGCACGATGCTCATCTCCTCTGTGGAGCACTGGAACACCTCAACGTAACGGTCCTTCATGGTCTTTTTGTGGCACTTCTGGGCCACCATAAATGCCTTGTCAGATGATTTCATTTGGATGAAAGCGTCGCCAGAGGGCCGACCCTGCAGACAGAGGAGGACACAGACAGAAAGAAAGACGATGAGTGTGAGAATAAAGCGTCAATCTATCAACCTTTTGACTGTGAAAATCACACGATGGACTAGGCAAAAATTTGGTGAAGAACAGGGCCGGGTAATCACATTAAATTTTAATAAAATGTCACAGCTTGAGATCTTAAATAACTGTTACAACACTAACATACATTAATAAATATCAATATAATTAAATATATGGGGTTTTGTTCTATCTATGTGGAAACAGACACGTTTTGCTTTAACTAACTTCACTGTGATGTAAATGTTGATTGCACAATGTAATGACTAAATAGAATAATGACACCATCTGCATTTAGATTGGTTCCCTATAAGCCTCGCTGTCACAATGCAATTCAGTTTGGGTACGACCTCATGGGAAAATGAAGCCTTGATTAAGGGCACAAAGGAAGTGTGTCAACCGTTGCACAACCAAAACACTTTTGTTTTCCCTCGTAGCTATCGGTAGCTATCCCCCAAGGAGTGTAATTTTAAGTTTTCTGCAGCTACTGTCTCCAGTAGCGAAAATGGTGGAACAACTGATGCAACTGTGGAAAAATACAGTGCAGTGTTTCCTCCTGTGTTGTTGGCAGTTGCTAGGCTCTGGGGAAAACGGAGAGCGATGCGGTTGACTTTGCGGTATCCATTTAAGTTTCTTCTTCTTCTTTTAGTTGTTGCTGTGGTCGGACCACAATATCATAATGTAAATTTACTTTAAATATCCTCAGAAAGTGAAGTGTGCTGGGACTTGTTCTGTCTTGCAATGTTTCTCTCTAATATAGTGATTTTCCATAAAGAGACTTGAGGGTGACACATGACATTTTACATGGCTTTAAGACATGGAGCTTTACAGTTAGAGGTGTGCCTGAGCCCATGAGCCCCCACCAGTCTGACCTGTTGGTTGAGGACCATGTGGACTCCTTGGGGTTTGATGTCAATGGTGTGCTCTCCCATGAACTCCAGGATATCTTCAATGCCGGCAGTGTAGGGCAGGCCACGGAGGCGGACACAGTCTCGAGTGCTGCTGGCTGCTGGAAGGTAGGGAGGCGTGGCGAGGACTGGGACAGGCACAATGGGTGAAGGAGGCAGTGTGGAGATAAGAGGCGCAGACATGTAGCGATTCAGGACCTGGTGAAGAGGACAATGATGAATCAAGAGACATAACTTATTGTTTTCTGCAAATGCCTGAAATCTACTACAGTTAGCAAAGTTCATTTATCACCATTATCCATTAAGAGAGGAACTGAATTGAAATTTCTGCATGTGCAAATTAGATAAAATAAAAAAATACACAGAAAAACATAAAAAAAAGGCTGAATCAGGTCTATTTGTCAACATTTTACAGCCAGCAGGAACAAGCTAACAGCTAAAATGCTCACATCAGTTTCTCAGAAACAATATACAAACACATTGTGCAATAATATAAACGTTATTTTTCTGTTGTGCAAACTCCACAATCATCCGATTTATTGGAAGTCTCAGCGCTCTATCCATACTTTCGGTATCATGCTTGCTCACTCTTCCACGTTATCATGACATCAGTACTTTAGGGACCTTTCTGTTGAGGTCAGCCCATGTTGAATTATGTCACACATAAAAGGGGAACTTTTTTTTTATTATTCACTGATGACAAGAAGTCTTTCTCAAGAACACTGTATGTGAGAAAATAAAATGCATGTATTTCTCTACATTTTTATTATGACTAGATTGTTAAGTTTCAAATAGTGCTCCAGTTACTGCCAAGGAAAACATGTTTGTGTCTAAAATAGAAAATTAAAGCCACAAGTTCCCCTCTTCATATTCCCTCTCTTAATGTTATTTTGAAACAGACATTTCTGGAATTACTCAACATAAATGCAAACCTAAATCTAACTCAAATCTATTAAACATCTTGCAGAGGGTGTCTCAAAACTAATCCTTTCATTTAAAAAGGAGCACACACAACACCTATGGCCTCTGTATTTCTTACATCACATCTATTTTGAATCCTCTGATGCAGAATGTCAGAACATTTTCCCCATAACAATCTTAAAAACTGACATCTCCAGCCGGTAAAGGGAAAAGAATTTACCTGTTGCACCTCAGCTGCAGTGCTCCGAAACAGCTCGATGTACCGCTTCCCCAGGATCTGCTTGTGCTTCTTCAGGGCGTTCTGGGCGTACTCTTCACAAGAGAAGAGCACGAAGGCATCACCGGTGGGCCGGCCGTCAGGGTACTTGACAAAGAGCAGACCCTCCGGACCATCTGTAACTGGGCTCTCAGGACCGAGGAAGGACAGCACTTCCTGGGGTGTGGCGGTGAATGGCAACCCCCGCATACGGATAATCACCTGGTTCTCTTTGGACAGGAACTGGGCCACCTCGTTAGATGTACCTAGAGTCAGAGGACGGCAAGGTTATACACCTGACATCATACATCCATCCCTGAGACACTCATCAATATGTTCTCATAAAGCACATATTTTAATGCTGTCGTTGATTATAACAACACTCACTAAGATTCAGCAATATGGCTGAAACCATCTACCAGGATGTGTCTAAATTTATGCTACGATAAAGGCATGACCTGCCTTACTCTGCCTCTGATTGGCTTACCCGGACATTCTCAGCCTAACGCTCACCTACCCCACTCCTCTTGCCTGAACGCAACCAACCCCAGCAGTGAAGGCAACGACTACCAGCCATTCAGAGGCAGACTAAGGCGGATCATGCCTTCACTTTCCTAGGAAATGCAAATTTACGTACAGCTGAGGCCCATGTCATGAGGCGTTTGGTGCAGGTGTTTGGTCGTAAACCAAAGCACCAGAAGAATCAAGATGTAAAGTCAGAGGACCATGAACATTACTGGAGATCTTTCTGTGGGAACATGAATGTATTTATCTAAAAGAGACAATTCATTCAGCCTTGCAATATTGCCCATAATGGCCTGATACACCTTGAGATATTCAAGGGAGAAATACAATGGTATAAAAAAAGTGTGTATACATTGTAGTTTACACATTTGTGTGTGTGTGTGTGTGTGTGTGTGTGTGTGTGTGTGTGTGTGTGAGATATTTCACACAGCTTTGTTCACTGACCCCGATTACACAATCACCTTCATTTGGTTTATTTCCTATGTTTACATCATGTTCCTCTTTATTCTGCTATAGTTCAAGAGAAATAGGTTTGGGGTGAGTGTTGCAAAAACTAAGAGGAAATATTAACTTATTAGCATTAAGTTCAGCATTAAGTGTTTCTTTTAACTATGTGGCTTCATTGATCGCATGGTCACACAGATAAGAAGCATTTTGATGACCTATAAAAAGGTATGATTGTCATCTGGTGATTAAATGATAAACATTGTGGATATAAAGGTCACTGACTCATAGTTTGTATGAGACAAGACACTGTTTCATTAACCAGCCACAATATCTACATTTTCTTAATGAGAACTGGGTATTATTGTCCCTGTTCCTTCAGCTACTAGCCACTGGGCCCATATTTATTATTTGTACTGGATGTAAAAGGTCAAACAACTCCTTGAATTTAACAGGTACGATATCAAATTTCATTTTCCAAAACAGCAGTGATGATGCTTGATAAACTAAGGGGCAAATTCACAAAAGCACTGCCCGGCTTTTGCAGCTGCTAAACCTGCACAAAGAAGACAAATAAAAACTATAATTCTCAAAGCATTTACAAAGGGTGATGTATACCCCCAACTGTGTAGCCAAACGAATGGCATCTCGGTGCTACTATGCTATTTGCATGAATTTGCAAAATTGTCCACTAACTGAGATCCACACTGATAGCTACAGGCAGTTAAAGTGAAATTATTAGTGTCGTCAGAAGGTTGGAGGCAACCGAAGCATTTCTAAGGAGTGTCTGCCTCTTTAAGCAGCTTGTGAGGTATTGAATGATATTTTTTCCTCTGTCCTGTGCTTCAGATCAGTCTGCAGGTGAGCAATTGCAAACACCAACAGCACTGACAGGCTGAGGTATTAAATCCCAGATATGGTTATCTCATTTTAATTTCTCGCCTGAAGTTCTGAGGCATTCCTCTGCACCGCGTCGATCAGGACCTGTAGCTTGCAGTTTGAAGATTTCAATTTTCTTTTTCTCTCTGCCATTGTTCTGCCTGCTGTGAGCTTGGTGCATTTATATGTTGCCACAGACATAATAACAATCAGAAGCAAAATAAAGGGCAAATTGCACTCAGTTGCAAAACTTTATGGGTGTGTCTGAGCTGAAATATTAGTCCAATAAATATCTTTCATGACAGCATGTGTAGGTGATGCACATTGTACCATCAGCAGTCGTAAGCCGTCCTCTAATCCGCCCCTACATGTTTTGGATTATACATTAATTTACAAGTTTACTGTGAACTACTTTCATTTCTATTGATAAATGCACTTGTGTCTTGTCAGCTTGAACTATTTGCTTAAAGTCCAATGTGCTGTCAATCTGTACTGATCTTAACTCATCTGAGTAAAGTCCACAGTCAGACTGGCAGGTCTGTAAGTTATCTCCTCTGTGTGACTGTGTTTCTTTGTCTGCTATCTCTGTCCTGTGTCACTGCTGGCTGCTGCTCTATGGTCCAGAGGCCCCAGGCCCTGCCTTTGTCTCTTCACACCCCCTTTGTAGCAGCACTGAGCCGGTCCTTTCACCGGCCGGCAGCCGTCTCTCCCTCAGGGGAGTGCAGCTCGAGGCTGAACTGAACAGGTGAGCTGCTGTTAGCCGAGAGTGAAATTTCTCTCCAACTGGCCTCTGAAGGGTTGGGCTGGGAATGAGGAGGTGAGGAAGGGATGGGGAGGGGGAGCAGAGGGGGACGTTCCTCACAAAGCGTCTTTCATTAGTCCGAGATAAGCTGCTGGAGAGTCACTGGGATGAGGCAAAGACACAGGTAACAGGAGAGAGAGCCAGAGCGCATATGAGAGCCCCTATTTTACGGTCACTAAAGAGCTGCTCTTTTACAGATGTGGTCTTGTTTTTCCTCAAAGATGCGGCAAAGCCATGAAATAGAAGTCTGCCTCACACTAACAGAAAGCCTTTCACCATCCGTCCTCATACAAACATGGTGAGAAGAGAAAAGAGGAAAAAACATCTGAAATCTGACCTCCAGCAATCTTGAGGAATTCCTCTCCTGTGGCTTTGTACACCTGAAGAGACGAGAGGAAAACTGGGTTTAGCCATAAAGAACATCATTTAGTTTACAAGATAATATACAGACTCACATCAACTACCTGTGCAGGGGTGTAGTGCTATGTAAGTACTGCAGCACACCTATGATGAGGATGCACGTGTGCATATGCAGTTAACCTGGGGCTCGTTTCGAAGGTTATGTAACCACTGTTCCTACTGTAGCAGGTTTACATACATTAGTCAACTTCAACTATAAAATGAAGTGATGTTTTGCTGCTTTTTATCTTTACTACTTGACAGTTAGCAGCTTTAGGTTGAGAACAAATAATTTAATTCACTGTGCCTCTCAAAGGCTACCGCCAGCAGCTACCGGCAACATTTAAGGTGGAATGTTTTCTCACGTTACTCTGCAAGAGTTGACGCCGTAAATCAATCAACATACCTTAAATGTTAATGTGACAACTCTGACATTTCCATTTGTTTTTTTGCTGTCTATCTTGCATGACATAAGCTTTAGTGACAATTTGATCTTCAAGTACTTAAAAAAATGTGTATGAATTTCAACCGGATTATGTGAATATTCTGTTTCCTAACTTGGAGGAAATTCTGTCGCACTCTGGCAGTCCTACACCCCTGTACCAAAGGATTTATAGAGGCGTCTTGTGTTCAGCTAAGCATATTCTAAAAACACACCAAATCACAATATGACTGTACAAGACGTAAATGCTAAATCTAACCTCAATGTAGCGGCTGCCCATGTGGTGCTTGTGGCGTTCCAGGGCCAGGTCTCTATGTTCTGAGTTGATGAAACGAACTAAGGCTTCGCCGTTCCTCCTGCCCTGAGCTTTGAGACACAGGGCCACGCCACCTCTGAAACACAGGTGCAGAGATACAAACATGAGTACGAACAGAGCTAATGATATGGAGGCACGGTCAGGAATAAAACTTTAGCAACAGGTACTTAACAGTGAGGTTAACAGAGTCAAGGGTCTTGCAATATCAGTTAAAGGAATAGTTCAACACACTAGGGAATTTTTTTATAACAATTTGGACAGAGCCAAGGTAACAGTTTCCCCTTCCTGTTTTTATACTCAGCTAAGCCAACCAGCTGCTAGTCCCAGCTGCATCTTTAACATACAGACGTTTGAGTGTCATGAATCTTCTTATCAAGCTCCCAGCAAGATAAGATTACATGTGGTGCCATGTTTAAAAAAAAAATACTGAATACAACAAAAACAAAAGTACATGCACACCAGAATTAGCATATTTCTTTTATATTCAAGTTAATTTTTTTGATATCCAGCACCTGTCCCATGGAGGTTTTATGGATATTCAAAAGTCTACCCTAGCCTACTGTACAAAAATGATTATTGCACTTAAACCCATGACATTAGCATTAAACACTAATCTTAGAACGCTCCATTTAAGAGAGCATTTTATATGACCTACAAACACTGAAAAAAATCAAAACTGATTTTGCAATCACAGTGGCAAACATGTGAGCACCAGCAATTTCAAAAAAGAAGAAGAAAAAAAAAAGTCACAAATTACTGGAGTTCAGGTTAAACATACTTTGCGATACTGAGGCCTTTAAAGAAGCGAGCAATGTCTTGGTCTGAAGACTGCCATGGAAGCCCCCGCGCTCTGATCACTGTCTCATTGTCCACCGGCTCTGTCTTACTGCTGAACACGGAGAAAAAAGAAAACATTAATGATATTCTGATCATATTTAGAAAAGGAAGAATAAGTAGATTATTAAACACATCCCTGCAGATGACTACAGCTTTCAGGAGAAACACCACCGCTTTTGTTAAATGTGAACAGATTGCCCACAGATTGCAGACACACAGAGGCAACTCAGAGTAAGTGCCTAACAGTAACACACTCCCATGATTAAATGTCAGCAGGTTGTCAGGGTGATAAGCTTTTGACTGTCTGAGAGCAGCAGGATTTGGTGTTCTGCTACTAGATAGCCAGGTAAGCACTTGATGGCAAAGTTGGACAGCTTTAATGACACACTTGTGGTTTCCTTGTTGCTGTAATCAATGCTCAGGGCCCGAGGTCTGAGAGCTGAATATGGCTGGAGGGAGGGGGGGGGGGGGGGTGTCAGTCTGTAAACAACAGACTAACAGGTGTGTTGGGAGCAAAGATGGAGTGAGACACATGTACATGTGTTGAAAGGTTCATACATACCATGTGCCGGAATCGAACTTGTACTTCACTGTTTCAACAGAGGAGAACTTGTGATCTAAAAAACAAAAAAGAAAATTGTGTGAGTGAGTGTGTTGTTGGATCCTGAAAGTCCAAAACAATGTTCTCTCTTTCCTATGGTGAACAGGTTCGCCCAGCCGAGCAGTGTGTCTTAAGCCCTCTGCATTCCTGTTACTTGTCACACCCAAAGACATACTTGGCTGTTATTAAGGGGGTAAAGCCAGAGGCGACTGCCACAGTCAAGACACAAGATGTCCGATTACACTGATTTATTTGCACTGCAACATATCTGGAGTCACCTTACAGTTTCTTCATACTACAGTAAATTGTCTAATGCAGTATAGAGTAGTAAAATATAAGTATATCTGGCTCATTAACTAGCAATAATAAAATCCAGACATTCTTCAATGATCAACAAACTACCACACCTTCTAGTTAAAAATGTTCTCTGTGAATATTTGGGCTTTGTTCCAGTTTCCATTCAAATAAAAAACGAGGCAAGATGGTTGTGGTTAGTAATTTAACGATCCATCGATTTAACGATTAATTATCCAATATAAATCCGTGCAAAGGGAAAACGCTGATCCATATCTTTAAGATACGCCTTTATTTTAAAATTCCCATGACGCTTCTGTGTAACCATCAAACAGTGCCAAGTAGACAATGGAAAACAGCCAAGAAAAGAATGATGACAATATTCACTCCCCGCTGAGAAAAGACAGATCAAAAGACAAAACACATGCCACATGCATTAAGGCTGTGCCATATCATCTCATTCACGATAATACCGGTATCATTTTTAGTATCATATGAAAAATTCACATCGTGGTACTCGTGATATTTCGGCTTGTTGACATATTGACATTATCATACTGTTACCCATGGTAACAACAAGCATGGCTGAAATTATTACAAACTCTGCGGTGGTTCCAAAAAGGGGAGCAGCCAGGCCTGGGCGTCCTGAATGTTTTATCAGCAGGCCCCGACTTCACAGACTCTTTTAGCAAATTACTGCAAATTACCGTCCCCTCAGAGGAAAACTCATTCAGCGTCTCTCCTCTCTTGCTGTGCGCACATGGTAGTCAGTGTTGTTAAGTGATTTTGTCATAAACCTTTGGTAATGTAAACCTACGTGCTGCTCGCAGCTCAACAAAAAACTACACGTGTGAATGTGTGATACTTCTGGTATCATAACAGCTTGTCACAGGTTACAGAGTGATGACTAGAGGAGAAATGGCAGAGCATAAACGGTCCAGGTGGGAAACATCTTAATGATTAAGACTTTGTTGAAAGAAGGAAATCACCTGTTGAGATTATAT